TGTGCTAAGAGTTGTATGAACCCCTAATAAAACAATTAAAAAAAACAACCAAGAAACAAACAAACAAAAAATTGTTGCGCCAGGAGAGTTTCTTCTCTGCGGTACCCACAGGCAGGCCTCTCTCTGGGCTTTAATCGTTTAGTTTAAAAGCCTCTGTATTGCTTGTAAAATGGTAAAAAGGTCTTTGGGGGTTGCCAATAAATGCCCAAAGGTCATGTATCTGCACCTTAAGCATCTTGATAAGAGAAAACCCAGTCACTCAATGAAGTGCTTGGAGGCAACTCACTCCACAAGTCAACCTTCTGCCCAAAGGCACTGACATTTTCTTGCTCTCTGAACTGGCCTGTCCACTCTCCAGCTCCTCATTCTGCTGCTGCCATTTCTCACCTGCTTTAAGGTCAATGCTATCTCCTGGATCAAGGAGATCCTTGGTCCAAAAGACATGCTCACTTCATGGCTTTTCTTTTTTGCTGGTAGTATGATCTTTCTTTCCTGCTTTTGAGATGGTTCCTTTTTACACCCACCAGGATGGAAATCACAGATAGCTCAGTTAACAATAACTCACAGCTGAATCTTATAGCTCAAACAGTATCTTTCTTACCCAGATTCATGACCAAAATGAAGGTTGCTTGGTGTGATGAACAGACTATGATTAGAAGAACCATATTGAATGCAATGAAATACTGCTTAACAAATGTACTCCGCCATTTATGGGCACTCGCTATCTCTGATCCTCTTATCTCCATAAACACTGCCATCTTCTATGGGTTGCCTCCCCCGCATCCTCCCTGTGAGAAAGAATGTTCTAATCCTGGAGCTAGTTACAATGTAGGCCCCTGGCAGGGACCATTCCACCGTTGGCATCAAGGCCACGGCAGTGAGTTTAGGGTTTTTTGTTATGTTTTGGTCTTCCCTAATTCCTTGAATCCTTCCAATTTTTCTCCTGTAACAACACAAATGTCACCATTTGCTAAATGCCAGTATCTTCAACATGTTATATTAACATTTTCTTCATTATCTTGCTCAGCAGAAATCTTGTACACTCTATTTTAGTATACATGTTGCCGAAGCGAGCACAGTACACTATATTTTGTACAAGGTCACCTTGCAACTATGTAAAGTAGAGGTTATCTTCTTTTTCAAAACATAATATAGTAGTAACCTTTGCTTGTTAAAGGATACTTTTTGCTATAGAGTTGCAGAAATGTTTCTAATTAAGAATTTAGAACAAATCAAAATTTTAAAATTTCTTATTTGCACTCCACTGTACAATTGAGCTTAACTGGCTCTTTAACTGTCTATTGATTGATTAAGTTAATTGCAAAAGAGAAAATTGCATTTCTCATATATTTATCTACATAATTTCTTCTAGAGAAAAAGTACAGAGGAAAGAAATACTTAATTTCCACACCCGAACACAATGATAGTCTCTTACGTCTGGACTTGCACTTGTTTATCTTCCTGGAGACAGAGCTTTTCTTCCAAATATTTCCAATGTTTTTTCATGCTTGGCTTATTGTTTATGATTATACTCACATCACATAGAATATATCTCATATAATAGATACACATTGTACTTTATGTTGAAAATCATTTATATAAAATCATCTACATATTTAGCTAGGTTGGTTTATTGGTTATTGGTTTTACATAAAGTCAATGAAAGGAATATCAGAAATTACTAATTAATTTTAATAATGCAAATTCTGAGTATTAACTCAACATCTATTTTACATAGACAAGTTATATGCTGATTTCAATTATTTAAGTTTATGATATTTGATCATATTGAATTTCTATAAGCACATAAATATTTTTTTATTTGTTTCAAAATCAATAGATTGGAAGAAAAATGCACTCTTTTCAGTTTAAAATTGAAAGTATTCCTCAGTAAATCACATTAGACACTTACTTTTAAAGATATTATATAAAAGTTATAAGAAACAGCATAAACTTAAAATAATAGCACACAATAGTGTAAAAGATGCATAAACTAACAAAGTATTTCAGTATTTTAGATACAAACAACAAAAATAAAGCAGAAAGCTACATTATGACTACATAGATTATGAAATTCAGAATTGCTCAATAAATAATATTTGTCAAAGTCAATCAGACAGCTCAAAAGTTACTCTGAATATTAGAAAATGTCAAATGCATACTAAGTAGGTTCTGGATATTTTTAAAACATGTAAATTGTCTGCCTCAATCTTGAGGCATTTTGATAGAAGCACATTTGTAATTATTATATTTGTATCTATTCCTAGTGCAGATGTGAACATGGTCATTTATGATTGGTATTATAAAATATTTTCTGTGTCATCAGGAGTAAATTTATAGAAATTTATTTACTGATAAATAGAAGATTTTTAGAACCTAAAAAATGTGAAAAGCCTTATGAGTCATTTAAGTTAGAATTTTGAAGATAATTTATTTATATTTCATATATTTTCCAGCTTGGCCTGCTTTTTTCATACTATACACTATGTTAGATATCTTTTGGAAACCTTATTTGTTCACAAAGTTTCTGGAAGACACACTCCATTGAACAACATGATGAAGGTAGGGATCAATAATTTTATAATTTTAATCAATAATGGTTTTGAAAAGGGAAACATGTGAAAGAGATATTTATGTTATTCTGTTTGTTTTTCCTTCAGCCTAGATTTTTTTTATTTGTCAGCATAATGTAATCTGGTCCTAAAATATTTTGTGAGTGACATATTCCATTATGGGAGATGTCCTCTGGCCATTACAGAAAAAGCAGAGGCCATAGCGCCGCTTCTCACTCATGGTAACCTCATATGTAGAACAGAACCCCATGGTGTGTCCAAGGAAGTGATTTTCAAAACATTTTCTGTATTTTTTTTGTTTGTACATATTGATGTTTTTCTCAGATGTATTATGTCATTGAGGGTCACTCTTTTGAATTTTTGTTACATGGTTTTCTGTTTTTCAGTATATGAATCCCAGGATTGATGAACCTACAGGGACAGCAAGTAGAATAAGGGTTTGGGGGTAGGGGGTACAGTCATGGGGTAGAAGGCAAAAGGGAGCTGCTGCCTAGGAGTTCAGAAAGGAAAAGTCTGTTTTGAAACTGGTTGTCGTAGCAGTTGTACACTACTGCTTGATGTGATTGGACTGTGGAATGTTATGATGATATATGCATTAACTCCCAGGAGAATGGTTCAAAAAGAAAAGCAGACACGCCTCCTGTCTTGGGATTTAATACTGGATTAGTTTGGACCAATATAACCATTTTTACACTTTGCAGTAGTACCTACCAATACCCCATAAATTCACGCATTTTCTGTGTCCTCAAGAAGCCCTTATGAATTAGTCGAATAAGCATAAAATCAGTAGTTCAAAGCTACAGGCTGCTCAAAGGAGGAGGCCCAGGCTGTCTCCTCTTACAAAGTGTAAGAGTCTTGGGAACGTCCAGGAGCAGTTCTGCCCTGTCTTATTATAGGGTCACTATGAGTTGGTATCAACTTGATGTCAGTGTGTTTGGTTTTGTTAAGTTAAAAAATGAGTAAAATATTTTAAAAGATACTGATGATAAAATGTACATCAATTAACACCTCAATTTTAAAACTCAAAGTAAATTTTATTTTCAGATTGAATTGTGTCTGCCAGAACTGGTAGAATACACACACAATTACTCATCCAAAATTTCATGGAAAAATCTAATTAAAAGAATGGTATTTACATATGTTTTTAGGAGGCATCATAT